CTTATACGTAACACCAGCTGCATGTAAACCTTTTGTTTAAGAAGGGTAGCCAGTCAAAAGAAAGTTGACTTACACCACGAGTTTGAGATTGAAAATGAAGAGTGGGGCGCCAGTACCTCTTCTTTTTCTGATAGTCAATGAACAGAAATATATAGTTGGATATGAGAATATTAGCTCCCGTTTAAAAAAATCCCAAGTTTATTTAAAAAAATACAAAAATTAGACTACTTATGAAACAAAAACATTCTTAAATAGTTTTCTAATGTTTTTCCCATGGGGCAAACATGCCCCAAATTAATGTGCCAAACTTGTCGGTGCATTAGTGTTTCATACTGATTTTATACAATTAGGCCCAGGAATATGTGACACAGGAATATGTGACACATAAAACAGTTCAAAGGTTTTGGATAAGAATAAAGAAGCTCTGCAAAGTGTTACAAAGCCTATGCAGTCGCATGGCTCACTGACCTAGTTTGCTATTACTCAGGCGTTTCTGTTCCACCTGACCCTTTAGGGCCCGGACTCGTCGCAGTTTGGCCTCCTGGTTATGCGCATTCTCCCTGAGCTGCCACAGCCGCTCCTGCTCTGACGCCTCCTGTTGCTGCTGCTGGTGATCCTGCAGTTTCAGGAACCGTAGCTGCTGCTCCTGCAAAACACAATGCTTTTCAGGTCTTTGTCATATCATATCATGCTAAACAGCTACACAGATTTCTTCCTGATATACTTTAACTGGAAGACGTGAAACATTTACAGTACATCTTGTAAAATATATCCAGCCATTCATATGAGTAATAGAAGGCTTGTGTAGTCACAGTCGAATCATGTACATCACTTTAGTATGAACATTAGTCTCTGTTTGCACAGAGCTCTGTTTGGTCCACTAGTCCAGAGGGCAAACAGAGTACAAGTAGTTAATAAGCATCCATAGGCAACTGCAAGAGGTTATTGTGAACTGCATTTAAAATAGTATCAGCATCAATATAAGTGGTAACACCAGTAGTAGTAACAGTAGTAATAGTTGTGTATGGTGTGTTTTACCTTGGAGGCCAGCAGCTGCTGCTGAGCACTGATCTGCTGCTGCTGTCGGGTTGCCAGGTCGTGCAGCTCATTGAGCGTCATGTCCAGACAAGGAGCTGAAACCTGTAACGCAGATACAGTCAGAGTTCACTTTCACACAGACAGAAATACTAAAAGACACATTACACAGTCATTTACGGCAGCGGTCCCCAACCCCGACTCATGGACCGGTACCCGTCCATGAGTCGTTTGGTACCGGGCCGCGAGAGTTCAGGCTTGGATGTGAAATTCATGGTTTCAGGGTTTTTGTCGGTTTTTAGCATTATTCTTTTTATCGTTTTTATCGTTAATTTGGTTTCTCTGGGTCTTTTCCCGTGTGTTATGAATAAATCTTCTTTTTTTTTAGTATGGGTACTGGTTTTATTTTGTTGCATTTATCCGCGACACCTTAAAGGCCGGTCCATGAAAATATTGTTGGACATAAACCGGTCCGTGGCACAAAAAAGTTTGGGGACTGCTGATCACAGAAATTCACAATGCAATATCTATGAATGTGTTTGAAGGGATTCATGTTAGTCGGTAATAAAAATGTAAGCCAAGGCAAAACACACTGATTTATTTTCATCAAAATCACAGTAAAAGTCTCTCACCCCATTCTCCAGACATCTCTCCAAAGAGGCTTTCACCTGGTTTCTCTTCATCATCTGATCTGCAGCCCTGGATCCAACTGGACACAAAACACAGTAAATACTAATGAAGAATT